CATCTATTTATATTTTTCCTGCTTTTTTTACATTACCAAAAGGGGAAGAGTATACTCTCAGGGGGTATGGTATACTCTCTATATTTGTCTTGGGGATTTTAACCACTCTGAATTGTTATCAATGTTTTCTTGTTTGTCCACCTCCCTGAGAGATGTGTTGTCATCATCAAAAAGGGGGAGAATGTGAATCTATATTCTTATTGATGATTGAAATAATTATTTTACATGTATGGTTTTGAAGATGACAATACTATAAGGTGAGTTCTTCATCTGAAGTGATGAACAATTTTTTGTGCTTGGAGATCAAGATGTCAAATTCTATCTCTTTAGGACAACTTCTAATGTCAAGCGACTTTTAGTGAAATCTTTGATGTTCTCAATCAAGAAATCTATCTGATGATGATATCTATCAAGAAGCCTTATCAAGCCTAGTTTTACAAATTAAATTCAAGTTATATATGAAATGATGAATCATTGATGTATCAAGCACGAGATCTGGAATCTTCAAAGTCGTGAAAGAAAGGAAGTGTGTAAGCTTGTCTCGTATGTGTGTGAGTGATAGAAGCCTTGTAATAGATATTATAGTAGTTCCTAAACTACTAAAGTAATTCACACACTCACCTAAAAGTATTTTAAACTCTCTATTTGATAAACTTCTTAAAACACTTAGAGGAACTATCAAGATGATTATGGAATTGATAAAAGGGTGTTCCTAAATATTTATGAGGCATATATACGTTGTCTAATTAATTAAGGTCTTTAGCCAGTCAATTAGAGAAAGGTTTAAAGCTTCCTAATCGATTATGAACACTACTAATCGATTAGGATATTAGTTGTTATAGTGTTTCCTTTTTGGGAATTAGGGTTGTCATTTTTTCAAAGTACATAATCGATTAGGTGATATACATAATCGATTATGAGCATTAAGGAGCCCAAAAATAGTTTTATATTTGAGAAATATTTTTATCCTATAAACAATGGTTCTCCTCACTTTCAAATCACACCAGAAAACTTATTTTAACACTCTTTCTAATTTTATAATCTTTTTTTCTCATTTTTCTCTTTTCACTAAAATTGCCTTAGTGTTTTATGAGTGAAATATATCAATGAGGTTTTTGTTGTGTATTCTGATGGAGGGGAAATAATATAATTTTTGAAAGAGGTTACTTGTTTTCTATTGTACAATATCTTTTGTGAAGTCATTGTTTGGTTTATGAGATTAGCTAGTGAAAGCTTTTGTTTGGTTTGCGAGATTGTCCGTTAAAATATATGTTTAGCTTGTGAGCTCAACTAGTACAAAAGCTCTCATTTGTTTGTAAGCTACACCTGTTATAAAAGCTATCATTTGGTTCAATATTATCCTGGTACACAATCTTGTGTTTGGCTTGAAGGATATCCAGTGTAAAATTCCAAGTTTAAATATAATAAGATTCATGGATATAACGTGTAAAAAGCTCAAACATATAGTGGACGCCTCAAGAAGAAATTCTTGGGGAGAGAACATGGTTCAAGTAGTTAGGTTGTGCCTCTATAAGCCTCTGGTACAATCTTCTTATCCCTTATATCTCTTTACTTACATTGATTTCTTATTTCCGCTGGGTTCAAATATGTGTTTAACCTTAATTTTATTCCTTTTTTTTATTTTTCTACTTATTGTTTTAATTTTTTTAAACAATTTCTTTTATCAAAGATTTTTTAATTGAACATTTTTTTCAATGCAATACAATGAATCTCCTATTGTGTTTAAAGTCACTTGTCCAACAATCCATACTTTAGACTCATAAAGACCAGAGTGTGTAGGGGTATGTTTAAAATTACGTCTTCATTATGGTTCGCGCCTAGTCTCCTGATTGTGCATTTAACTTGCCTTAATTACAGCCTCCAACATCTTTATTGTGTTGGGTTTAAATGGATAGAATTAGTTCCACTTTACTTAGAGATATGGCCAATAATTGTTTATAAAGTTTGGGTAACCTTTACCTTACGTGTCAATTTTTTAAGGTTGAGTTAGATAGAACAACAATTCTTAGATGTTATCAAAGTCTATCCAAGATCCATTAAGTAATATATTATCAGGTTGTTTCTGATATCGAACCAGCCACCATTTATATCTACGCATCAAGTTCAATAGTGATAGGCGTCAGAGATGTGTTAAAGAGTCTCATGTCATATGAGATTTGACCTAAAGATATGTTTATAAGTAGGGTATAATCTCACTTTACAAGCTATTTTTGTAAGGTTGAGTTAGGAGAACCACTGTAATGCCCCAGACTGCTTTCAAGATTATCGAATGACCACACAAACCAACATAGATCTTTTTAGCATGCTTTGTCTTCACTCACACGTTTTTCGGGAAAATTTCCAGAAGGTCACCCCATCTTCTTTTTAGTAGCCTAACAAATAAGAACTCCATAGTTAAACGTGCTTGACTTGGAGTAGTATTTGGATGGGTAACTTTCTGGTAAGTTTCCTGGAAAGTGTGTGAGTGAAGACAAAGCATGCTAAAAATACTTGTGTTGGTTTGTGGGGTTAGTCGGTAATCCTGAAAGTAGACTGAGGCGTTACAAATAGTATCAAAGTAGACTTATCCCAGTAAGATGTGGTTCGGGGGTGAACCAAGCGAAAGTTGGTAGGAATGTAACACTCGAGGACGACGAGGACGAGGAGTGGTCGCTGGTGTACAAGACATGACAATGAGCGGTTCCTAGCAGCTTCTTGGAAAAAACTGAATTCACATCGAAATGAGATGGATTATGAGGTTGTGCAGGTGTGAGACTGCATGGTTGAAAGAAAGCTTATAATAATTGATTGGTACCACCTATACCAACAAGATTCATATTCTTTTTGGTAGCCTAACAAATAAGAACTTCATAGCTAAGCATGCTTGACTTGGAGTAGTATTTGGATGGGTGATCTACTAGAAAGTTTTCCGAAAAGCGCGTGAGGATAAAACATGTTGAAAAGAATCGTGTTGTTTGTGGGGTCAATCAACAATCTTGAAAGCAGTCTGGGGTATTACAAATGGTGTCAAAACATACCTCTTCCAGTACGTTGTGGTTCGGGGACGAACCAAACGGATGCTGGTGGGTCTGTAACATCTGAGACCGACAAGAATAAGGAGTAGTTGTCAATGCACAAGGCATGATAATGAGTGGCTCTTGAAAGCTTCTAGGCAAAAAGCAAATTCATATAGGAATCAGAGGGGTTATGAGGTTGTTCAGGTATGTGACTTCATAGTTGAAGGAAGACTTATAAGAATTTATTGATACTACCTATACCAACAAGATGAATCTTCTTTTCGGTAGCCTAACAAATAAGAACTCCATAATTAAGTGTGTTTGACTTGTAGTAGTATTTGGATGGATGAGATTTTGGGAAGTTTTTCGGAATGTGTGCGAGTGAAGACAAAGCATATTGAAAAACCCGTGTTGATTTGTGGAGTCAGTCGCTAATCCTGAAAGCAGTTTAGAGCGTTACAACCACAATTATAAAAATCTTGGTGCACCATTTATATCCACACACCAAGTTTAAAGGAATGGGTACGAGGAGTTATCTCATAATATTGATCAAATACCACAAGAGGAATTGTCTTCAAACCTCACAATAAGTCAAATTAACAACGACATTAATATTTCACAATCATCTATTCGAAGGATTAATAATACAATACCCCTATCTGGCTTGCCACCATATATCGTTCCTCTTGTACAAGACGCTCATGTAGTGTCTGACAGAGCTACTAGTTTCCAGTCAATATCAGGCAATTGATCTTGGAGGTTGAATGGATTAGGAAAGAACTAGCAACATTGGTTTCTTCCATGGACATGTGGAGGATCAGACACACTCTCTAGTGACCAATACTACATTGAAATCATTTAGGAAGAAAATATAATAACAACCATGAAATGATGAATATGATTACTCGTCAAATTGTCGTAGTGTTTAACTATGTGATCGAAAACACTGCGACTATGTATCATGTGTTGGCTAGACAGATGAGTCGAATAAAATGTAATTGGTGCGCCTAATGAAGGTGACAACAATGAGATCCCTCAATAAATCTTTAACACACCTTCGATTCAAATAAACTGCGTCCGCCCTCGAAATATAACTATGCTTAACAGAAATCAATATGTTGATACAAAACATTGATAACCTTGACCTGTTGGTAAAGACTTGAGAGTGTGCTTCTCTCGTGATCTCCGGTTTAAATTCCGCTAGATGTTAACAATTTCTCTATTAGATTAATTCATACAGAATAACATTCGAGCTTATAGCTAATTATGTGTTCGCTAAATTCTTCTCTCATTATCTTAATTGATAAATATATGCTTCTATCATTTTATATATATCAACTAGCTAGTTTAATTATTAATGCTATCAAATACTACAAATTCAATCGATCAACTAACTAGCTTATCTGGCCGTTATAAGTTCATCTACTACTTTTACCAATCAAAGTTGCATCTTACACCAATCTGTAAGATCTGTACTTGTTAACATCATTGCATCCTTTGTAAGTGTAACAGCTTAATGTTACTGCCATTACACATTATTATCATTATAAGAGCAAAGGAAATAAAAATACAGAACATATTCTACTTGAAAATCATCACATCAATTTGCAAGGAAAGATATTCAATTGTACCTATTCATAGGTAACTCTTTTATGTGTAGTATTCAAGATAACAACAAGTTACAAGTAACAAATTCATGTGATGTGGTGTTAACTCCTATACATATTTCATTATTCTAGTTTTGCTTTAGATAGCATACCATTATTTGACCATAAGGTACATAAGAATAATAATGTAACCCTATGGTCAAATAATCATGTACAAATCACCCAAACCATTACATGGCTTAGGGAAGGTAAATTATGGATCATATATATTTAAGCAAATATATGGAAATTAACATATACTATCTTTCTGAACACTGTATACTTCTGCAGTAGTGTAAGCTGTTCTGATTCTGCTTTCTTCGATATCGTAAAAGGCTCACATTGATTTAACTTGATGCTTACATTGTTGTTGAGACCAATAGGCATGCGCAGCTAAGACCCTGTCGAGAAGCTCTTGAGGAACAGGTTCTCCTCTCCTTTGTTGAGGGGAGATTCTCGCTGTATGAACCAATGTCTTCCACTTATCCTGCAATACTCCGAACATCACATAAAATTTATCAAAATGCAAATAGCGCGTGGTTATCAACACACTTTTTGTAAGTGTATCAGTATCCGTGGATTATCTTTCTGTGTGCGCACACGCGTATGTATGAACATTCTAACCCTTCAAGTTTTCTAACAAATGTGCATCTATGTAGGCACATTCTAGCACTTCAAGAAGTTTTCTAACACATGCGCACGTATGTATAGCATGTATGCACATTCTAACCCTTCAAGAAGTCTAACATATGCGCATATGCGCACGTATGTATGCACATTATAACCCTTAAAGAAGTTTTCTAACACATGTACGCGTATGGATGCACATTCTAGCACTTCAAGAAGTTTTCTAACATAGAGAAGCATAAGTTCGATAAAACCTTCACCTTCAAATCCACATAAGTTCGATGCTTTGCGTTGTCAAAAGCACGTTGTTTGACATCACGCCATCTGCAACATACGTGTAACATTTAATACTACCTCGAGTCCCAATTATAAGAATTACTTGAAAGAAGAATCATTAACCAAACCTTCCGGTTCCTAGTTTTTCAACTGCCTGAACCAATGCTTCAACTTCTAGAACAGAAAACGGCCTCCTGATACGGCGCTGCCCAAAGTCAGGATTCCCTGATTTGCGCCGGTACGGAACCACAGCTAATGCATCCATGTTGATGGCAGGAACTGTGACCAGCGCGCGGCATTTTGACATGTTATTATTGTTAGCTGAAGTATCTCCTAGAGAGGAGACCCCGTTAAGATCACCTTCCGCACAATTTTCAATTTTTACCGTAGAACGTTCTCGAGATACATTATACGTTCCTTGTTGTAACATTAAAGAAGTCGATTGCCTGTTTATTGAAAACAAACAAATTAGTATCTAGAGTTTCTCATATGTTAGCAATGGAAATCCGAAGATGAACGGTTACCTAGATATCTTTTGTCGTGAACCGGTGGTTAGTAAACAAGGGTCGTCATTGTATGAAGATGACATTCGATTATGTCTTGGCTCCAACATGAATCCTAACCTATGTCGTTTGTCATCTTGAGAGATCCCGGTCTGGATCAAAGTTTTGCTGTCATCTCGAATCTTCTTTCCCTGAAGCAGGATGCCTACATGTAGTTCGTCTCCAAGTATAGATGTCACGGCTTCCATTACCGTTCTCTGCAAATATTAACAAAATAAAGCTAGCCAATAGACATAGTGAGCGTACGAAAAATATACTATTGATTGTTTATCGTCAGATGTTATGGACATGTCATAAGTTGTTTTCATCATTGTCTTTCATCAGATGAAGTTTAATCACATACCTTGAGTGAACCAATAGTTGCAGTTTCAGGTATATCGATAAAAAGCTCGGGGACTTTAAAGGATTTTATGCTAAGCTTCACTGCAAAGTACATAATAAACCATGTCAAATTATTTTCATAAGCTCTTCCAAACAGTGTCCCGAGTGGTTATGCCACTAAATAAGTTCAAATAAGCCAATCCAATTAGGATTAATTGATTCAATATGGTAAAACATTTCGCGAACTTTCCTACCATTACAACCCTTGGATGCGGGATGTACTTGTTGATCAGCCATAGAAGATGATTCTTCAATTACTGCAAACAATAGTTTCGGTCATTGAGCCAAAACTGAAAAAACAATCCTAAAAGGAAAAATAGATTATAAATAAAGTAAAAAAAAAAGCAAAGTACGCAACCATGCATTGTTGCACCTGCACCATGGTTTGTACCATTAACCCTTGGACTAGAAGAATCAACTATGCCTTGACAGTGAGACCAGCTATCAGACGTAGACGATGAAGTTTGATAGAAAAACTTCCTTTTCTTAAATGGATACATCCTTTCAGAATTTTCAAGCACCGAATTGTCCCCGCTATTGTTCTCATCTGTGTCAAAAACAATTCGTGGAACTATCAGTAGTCATAAAGAACATGTAGAATCATTTGTTATCAACCGCAGATTGCAGAAAATAGGGGTTGGTTGAAATTCTTAGACACTACAATGCTATAGCTAGCGTCACTATAACCACTATTTGACATCACAATTAGGAACACGAAACTAAACCAAAAATCAACTGCGAGTAAAGCTACAAACCATTCGCAAAATGACTTGCATCCTTAACCTTTATCGTATCTGGTGGTGAGCCGGGTGAGCCAGATATCATATTCTTTGAATTCAGTTGAGTGCACCTAACAATATTTTCGTCATCATCTCTATTAACTAATTTCCTAGTACCGAATCCATTTGGTAAAGAATTAAGATTCATGTGGCTACGAGCCTCCAATGAAGGCTTTTCCACGTGATTTTCCGCACTGCAATCTTTCGATGCTTTTTGGCCTGGTTCTATCAATCCATCCGATCTGTTTTTAATGCAGGTGATTTTCTCATTTGTACTTCTCAATTTCACACGCTCATCTTCCCTCTCAAGGACATTCTGTCCTTGTCCTTCAAGATGGTTTTCGTGTAAAGAAGAATCGCCCATGACTCTGCAGAATGTTTCATAGAACACGACATTGTTGAGTGATTACAAGTTTCCAAGTGGATAAATTTAGGTACATTAAACTCATCATTGAACCTTTTTTTTTCATCGGCGTGCGACAAAGTAGAAACTCAACATTTACCTTTGGTTTTCATGTTTCACTTGCAAATTAGGGACACAACCGGAGACAGCTTCACTACAAGTTCCATGCTCCAATTGCTCCTCCTTAAACAGTCCTCCTTGATTCTCTTGTTTGTTTTCCTTTACGCTAATACCAGAAAACGAACGAGGATCTTTCGCAGAAGCAGCATTATCAGGAACCGAACTCTGATTCTTCTGCAAAAGGTTGCCCGCTACACTAGCCAAAATATCAAATGCTTGTATTTGATTGCTGTCGGGTTTCTTCCTGATCTTACCTCTCCCCTAAACATGTATATATGAATTAATAAGAATGTTACAAATCTATTCCATAGGGAACATAAGTAGCACAGACACTTCTGATTGAAGTTTTATCTGGTGTCTGACACCAACATAACACTGACACACACACCTACATTGAATCACTTCCGTTTTCTTAAATGATTATCGGTATCCACATGTCAGTGTCAATGTCTGTATGTCTCTGTTTCGTAGCATATGAGAAGATAATCAATTGCCTACCCTAGGAGATCTCGAAGCTCGAGGAACGGAAGGAACTTCATAGCCACTAAAACCATAATCCAACCTCTTCTGCATAACCATATCTCAGAAAATCATTCCTATAAGAAAAAGTCATTCGACAAACATAAAGCCAGCTTCCTTGAGTTCTGAAGACACCCCTTATTATAAAACCTGCCAACATAATCAAATTCAAATACATCAAACAACACTCAATAATAACAAGAATATAAATCAACAAAAAGTATTGAAAGCTTACATGTGTATTATTATCATTAGAACAAGTTTTCGCCTCTTATCCGGTTTGAAACTGAAGCAGATACATACCCTTCAATATTTTCAAAACAAACAACAACCAGAATTGTTACATAATGGTCATAATTATCCAACATCAACAACAACAATAAAAATCACTATGAAAAACCACTGATGAAGAAACAATAACAATATAAATAATCATTTTATTCAATACATTGGTCATAGGGATCTTCAAACCACCAATGACCCTTTTAAGGAAACAACATTTGACAAAGTAATAAATTGAATGAATCTAGAAAAGTAACACCAAAATGATGAAACTGGGCTCCATTTGAATGAGTGATGAAGAAAAACCAAACAAAAGAACAAAATACTCATAAAAAAGAAACCTTTTAGTGATGAATCATTTTTCACAAAAATGAAAACAACAAAACAAAACAAAAAAAGAACACATTTTTTGGGTACCCTTTTAAAAGTTAAAAAGAAATGTTGTTGAAAAAAAAAGTTTCTGACCTTAGAGAATTGTGATACTATTGTGTCTGAAAGAATGAACAACAAAAACCTCCTGAAAAACCATACAACCTTTGCGTTGTTCTTAAACCCCTCACAAGTAACTGTTTCCAAACGTTTGACCATTTTCACATATCCTAGGAAGGGAGTAACCGGTAACTAACATGTGTTTGTACCGGATATAGAAGGTTTAGTACTTAGATTTGACCGGTTCTTGTGTTTGGGGTGATCCACTCACTACTCTCTTTAAGTCACTTGTTTGCTTAACATGTGGCATACTCTCCACTCATTTGGGGGGTTTTTCATCGTCTTATCTTATTCACATAAACAACACACAAATGATTGAATTAGTTTCTAAACTCTAGCTACATCTTGTTCCAATTTGCTAACTAGTCCCTTTACATTATTTCATTTTATTTATAGCAAATACAAATAATACTAATGTCCACATGTGTAGGATACCTATATAGTAATGTTTGATCAATCATAATTAAATGTATGTGATAAAAATTTCATATCTCCAACAATTAAACCCCAAAAGAACAGTTCAAAATGAAATTGAAAAGAAAAAGAATAAAAAAATTGTTTTATGTGCTTTTGATTATCTATATAACTTTTTTAATGAAAACCTATATAGACAGTTTTGTGTTTTTTTTCTTTTAACAAAAGAGAAAATTTCATTTCAAAAGTGAGTCCGGCTTCTTAGATATGTCCGTTTGTCTGTGTTTTTTTTTGTTGGACGGATTAAAGTTTTAGTTTTGCACCCTCTAATATGTTTATCGTGTTCCATTCTGTTTTTTGTAAGGTGGACAAATGTTTTAGACTCACACCCTCTAATATGTCTGTCCTGTCCTGCCTCGTCCCGTTTTTTTTTTTGTGGAATTTTGCGAGTGCAGACACTAACATAAGTTTTTATAATTTTTATGCCAAAAAGATGCAGTGTCCGCCTCGTCCAGCCCTCACTTTTTTTACAGGACGGACAAAAGTTATAAGCTTGCATTCTACACAATACCCGCCCCGCCTCGTCCCGCCCTATTTTTTCAGACTTTTGCGGGGAGAGCCTAAACGGAATGGGCATGCTCATTTTCCACACCTACCTAGAGTTTTCCCAAACTCCAGTTTTTACAAATGGTGGTTAGATGGACTTTGTGGACCACTGTATCAGGATTACGTGTCAAAATTAAAAATTGACATTCTTGAATCCTAAAATGTTTTTCTAAGTTCTTTGACGATGAAGCTCATTGTCGTTCTTCTATGTGTTTTCTTCTGTTGTACCCCAAAATTTTCCCTCTCACTTATCAATTATTTTCTCACAAAGATCTCTCTTGGTTCAAGACTGCACTAGGGTTGATCAGCTCAAGACACCTCCATGAGCATTGATGATCAAAATTAAGGTTTGAGATTACACAAGGATAATTGAACTTTCAATGTCTCAAATGACTTTCATGGATCATTATGGACCCCCAAGATGACTCATGTCAAGTTTCAAGCTTTGGATCACACTTTTGCTCAGTCAATTGAGCAGTTGACCTAAAAATCAGTTGTATTGGAGAAAAAGTCAATTGTGGCCAATTTACAGTCAAACTTTATAATTTTTGATCCACATCAACATTATAAACTCATATGTATCATTTGGTCAAGTTTGGACCATAATTCCTCAAGAAATTTGATCAAATCATCAAAAAGGCAAAATGGTCAAAATTGGGGTTTTGACTGAGAAGGGGCAATTTCTGATTTTTGACCTAGCAAATGATCAATTGGTTTGAAGCATGATCTCAAGAGTTCAATTGCATCATTTTGACCTAATAGCATGACCCGAAATATTTCTCAAGATCAATTGGATTGATGGTGAATTTTCAGTCAACTGATCAAAAGTCAATTGTACATTAAAAAGTCAAACTTTGACTTTTTGATCAAAATCCAATGTCAAAGATCACAATTCCTCAAAATATGTCAAAATATGAAACTTATTCATCAAGAAGTCAAAAAGTCAAGATTTCATTTTGAAAAGTCAAAGTTTTCTAACTTAGAAATTTTTTTAAGTGTTTAAAACTTCATATTTTCTCACAACTTTGAGCCAATTTTTCACCATGATGCAAGATGATTCAAAAGAAACTTTCAACATAAAAGTTGTAGATCTCCATGATATCTACAACATTTCTTTATACAACTTCGTCTAAGGTGCTTAGATCTCAAGTTATTAATTCATAAATTCATGATCTTGAAATTGAACACTTAGTGAAATTTTGCCCTAGTTTTGGTCAGGATTTTGACCTAACTTCATGGCACTTTTTCATTTAGTTCCAAGGGGAATTATCAAAAGTGATTCAAAGAGGGGTTGTAGAGGATATTACAAGATTTCTAAAATGTCTAAGAACTCCTTGAGATCATTTGTGAGCAAGGAGAATCGAAGAGATGAAGTTAGGGTTTTCAAACTTGAATTACAAGTCATTTCATGATAAACAAGAATTCAAATCCAAGCCTAGGCTACATAATCTTTGCTTTGCAGGCCTCAAACTTGTTTTCCACTTCATAATTAAATGTTTACACAGCTGTTAGAGCTTTAATCCAAGCACTTGAGCCTTTATCCAAGTTACATTTCCATTTATGGCACAAAGTTGTCATTTCCATTTTGATAAAAGCATCACTTTTGCAATTGTCAACTTCTTGAGCTTTGCACTTGTTCTTTCTGCACACACAACCCCTATAAACCAAAATCAATGTGTCTAAAGCCTCTTTGAACTCAGAACATGCTTGTACAATACTTTGAGATTTGTCTTCTCACTTTTCTTCAAAATCAAGTTATATAGCCAAAAGGCTAGAACTTAGAAACCATGAGTGCATTTGATCTCTAAACTTTTCCATACATATACACAAGTCTATTGCAACATAACACACGAGTTCAAAGACCCCAAAAACACTCCCAATCACTCTGTGTTGTACCCCAAAATTTGCCCTCTCATATTTCTTAAAACATTGCAAGAAAAATCTCCAAGTTGCTCAAGATTGCTCAAGAGTTGGACAGTCAAGCTATCTCTTCAGGCAGTCAACCCCAAATTAGGGTTTTGTGTTGCATCAAGATATTTGAGTCCAAATGGCCTAAAGTGCTACCCAATGTCCTAATATGTTCTCAAGTTCATCCATGTCAAATTTCAAGCCTTGCAGAGGAAGTTTGCTCAGTCAATTGCTCAAAGGGTCCAAAAATCGACTATGCTAGGGCAAAAGTCAACTGTGACCCAACTACAGTCAAACCTCAATATTTTTTGTCAACATTCTCATTTTGAAGGATATTTCATCATTTGGTAAATGGTTGATCATGATTCATCAAGGATTGCTCAAAATTCATCAAGACTCAAAAGTTGCTAAATTAGGGTTTTGTAGGATAAGTCAACTCAACTTTGACCAAGCATAACTTTCTCATACTTTATGAGAAATGACCCATACAAAGATCATTTTTAATAGGATGCAATTTCCTGAAATCCATCTTCATACCCCAAGATCATAAAATGCACTCACAAGAAGTTATAAATTTGGACATTATAGGTCATTTTTGAAAGTCAACAAAAACACCTTTTTTGCCAAAGCTTATAACTTGAGCATGGAATAACAAAATTAGATGAGACCAAAAGAGTTGGTTAGATAACATCTCAAGATTTCTAAAAAGTCCAATAAAACTTCCAAAAGTTCAAAATTGAAGAAGTTATGCATTGTTGAAGTTGGGCATTTTTGCAAAATTGTCAAAAGTCAACTATCCCCAAAACTTCAAATTTTGTGAAATGGGCCCATTCTTTTCCACTTGATTTGAACTTGCCACATTGCACACGTGTCCTAGCTTCAGCCTTGTGTCCATTCATCAATTTTATTATTTTATTTGATTTTTTATTGAATTATTTCATTTTAAATCAAATTAAATCAAATAAAATCCCAAAACTTGATTACATGAGATCTTTTGCTATTTTCAGGACTTAATCATCATCATGGTCAGCATCAAATTCGTATCTCACAATATCATGAACAAAAAATGGATTTTTGACAAATTAGGCAAGCTTTCAAAAGTGAATCAAATCAAATATCTTATGCATTGATGGGGAAGATTCAAGGCATATTTGTTAACCTAATGCCTTCCACATTACATAAGGGAGCTTAAGGCACGATTACAAGGGTTGGAGGCTGCAAGAACACTCAGAACCAAACTTGGAAAAAGTGACAAAAAGTTGGAGATCGAAATCAAGCTTGGAGGCACTTTCAGGACTTGGCAAGCATCACAATCGTTTCCTAGCAATTCTCATAAGCAAAACCAATCAGAATCACTCATT